CTTTGCCAAATAAAGTTATTAATAATTTTATCCAAAATTTTAAAAGTGGGGGCAGGTATCCAAATAGGTAGTGCCTGAAATAAATACATTAATTGTGGGAGTAACTTCATTTACTCCCATAATTTCTATTGTGGGGGTTTCTATTCTGCCCAAAAGGGACAGAGGAAGAATCTCTAGTCAGGTCTGATTTTATTTGTGCGATTAAGCTACCATAATTTCCATTAAATATATGCAAGGTTTGTGGTGTAATCATCACACAATTCATATTTGAATCCCCTCTTGGACCAATTAAAGGTGACTTCTTTATTTAAGCCTGTAGGCCATTTGCCCATCAACATCATAGCTTCAGACTTGGTTTCATTAATTTTATAGCGTGAGATTTCTCCAAACTCTTTTAAACTGGTCATAAGCCTAGGGATTGAGCTCAGAGGGTTAGAAATATACAGAATAATGTTATCTGCATACAATGAGGTTTTATGGGTGACTCCTCCTGCTGTTACTCGGTCAGATTCTAGGGTCTGACCGTATTCTTTCCACCAGGGGCTCGATACTGATGGCAAATAGTAGAGGTGAAAGAGGACATCCCTGCCTAGTTCCTCTTTTTAAACCAAATTTATTTGAGGAGTATCCATTCACCCGTACTTTGGATGTGGGTCCAGAATATAGCACACTAATCTAACACACTAACATTTATTATGACTGGGAAAGTTTAATGTCCTGAAGAGGACCATAACCTGATCCCAGCAAATCACTTTCTCATTTAACTGTTAATTGTTTTTAGGCATTGTAGAAAACACAGACATTATATATGGCCGATAGTTGGATACAGATATTTAGAGATGTATAAACTATTTTACATGTATTGGAGATGTACCTCAACACCTCCAGAAACCTTTCCATACACATACACAGTAAAGCAATTCTGTCTGTCAGGAATTATCTGTCATTAAAACTAATATTGGGAATAATATTTCAATCATGTCTGCTTATGCAATAGTTCATTGTGAATCATATTTAAATTTTACAGCAGTTATTTCGTAAGCACAAAATAACATATATTATTTATTCAAATATTGACACCACTTTTACAATGTTTTGTAACATTTTGATAGATTACTGTCTCATTTCCAATCAAAAACAAATTTCTACTTTGGATGAAATTAGCAATATGAATAATTTTGGACTTAACTGTCTTCCATTTCAACAGAAAAACATGTATGTTTATGGAGAAATGTACAATTGCTGTATAAAAAGTGCAAAAAACTAGCTTCATAACTGTGATCACTTAAGCAGCTTTTAAAATGGCAGCTTTTGTTTAAAAGCAGTTTGCCAGATTGTTACATGTTGACTTGGCAGAATGTGCCCTCTCCATGTTGCTCCAGATCTATCAGATTATGAAAACTCACCATTTTCTCCAAATATAGCCATGCTCCAAAGTTACAAAATCAAAGGTAACACCATCACAATACAGACCTGGGTAGAAATGATAAAAAATAAATCAGAAAATTATCCAAAGGTATTAAGGTACAGTATTATTTTTTGTACCACAGTTGTTGTTCCATTTCCATTTTATAAACTCACCAAAATGATGCTGCATTTCATCTGTCAATAGAGTGCTGGTATGCGTGTTAGGCTGCTCATATGTCTGCTCTGAAACTTGTACATTTGGAGGTGTGTACCAAGTACTGAGAAGGTGCCTGAATGATTGGATCCTGGTGGCTGTTTCTAAACTGAAATGTCATGCTCACCAAGTCTGGATTCTGCTGATAAAGGATGGGACATGTCTGGCATGAACATACACACGCACACACACAGGCGCACCCACACACGCACACACACACACAGGCGCACCCACACACCTACACACGCACACACACATATATATGTATGCTCGAATGCGTTACCAAATAAAGTGTTAGCAAAATGTGAATATATTGGAAGCACAATGTAATTTTTCACCTGGAAAGTGTGTTATAATCCTTCTGTGTTCTGGTAGCCTTGATGTGTTTGCAATACTGTAGTGTGTGAAGCATATAATGTACAAAGTGGCAAAGCAGAATAATAAGACATTAAGTAACTAAAAAGTGTACTTTATTAGCAATTATAAGAAACCAAAAGTGTAATTGTAGCATACTGTAATCACACTAATATGTAAAATATGTAATGTCAATACACTTAAAATACATTCTAAATATATTTTAAATGTAATTCAATCACAAAAATACTACACTCAAAATATACTAATCAAGCATGTTCATATTACAAAAAAGCAATATATTTAAAGTATACTAAGTGTAATTTAAGTTGTTCCAAAAAAGTATGTGAAAGTACACTTAGTATACTTTAAATTGTGCTTTAATACAATTTAAATACTATTAAAATACACTAAGCACAAAATTAGTTGTTCCAAAATGTCACACTTTAAGTTAACTAATCCTAAGTGAACTTGAAGTATACTCATGATTAGTCTGACTTAAAGTATGCTTAAATATACTAAAATATAACATACTCGGTGTATTTGTTTTTCACCAGAGATGCCCTCTAGGATTGAGAACACCTGGCATCCAATTAACTCTCTACAGGAGTGTGGAGTATAAAAGGAGACTCTTTTCCCTGTTTCTTTATGCAGGTCACGGTTCAGCATGAGTGTTGCTTGGTTGGTTTTCAGTGGTCATAACTCGACTAACATCAATCAGTAAGTAATGTTTTATTATTTATGTAGCACATTTTCATCAACAAGGAAATACAAAGTGCTTTACAGGAATTAAAAGAAAATACAAACAAAATAAACCAAAGGAAAGAGAAAAGAAGAAAAAGAATCTTGTTGATCTAAAGTATGTAAACTAGGTGCTCCTTTCAGGGTTGCTAGATAAGTATCCTCTCGTCTAATTCCATTTCTGGGTTGGAAGAACAGGAGTTTAAAAAGCAGTCTAATCCAAAGTATATAAACTAGATACTCCATTCAGGGTTGGAAGATAAGAATAAGTAAGTATTCCCCGGTCTAATTCCTTTTCTGGGTTGGAAGAATAGGAGTCTAAAAAGTAATTGCGAAGGTAGTTTTTCTGGATTCCAAGTTTGTTCTAATCCCTGTTCTGGGTTGCTAAATAAGTGTAAGTAAGTATCCTCTCGACGTCTGGGTTAGTAGATAAGTATAAGTAAGTACCCTCTGGACTTTCTAAGTATGCTCTAAATTTGTAAAAGTAATGAGCAGTGGTGGAGAAAATACTCAAAAAATGCACTTAAGTAAAAGTACAAATACACAGACAAAAACATACTCAAGTAAAAGCAAAAGTACCACATTAACATTTTACTTAAGTAAAAGTAAAAAAGTACTGGCTTTTAAAAATACTTAAGTATTAAAAGTAAAAGTACTTGCTGAGTAATACCTAATCGCTAATATCATTAAGTGTACCGATCGTATTTAATTTTAATACATTAGAAATGTGCCATTTTAATGAACAATGCCACAGATAAAGCATGTTTTTGTTGTGTTTACTCTCAGTAACATAGTTTAGTTTGGCAGGGGAGGACATGGAACCAAGGAGCCAAGTAGCAGAGTTGTAGTCTAGAGCACCGAACCCAAGAAAATCAAGACCAGCACCCTGTGCTACATGACAATAAAATTAAGTGCACCAAAATTGCTTATCAAATTGATCTGAAAGATCCACTTTCCCATAAAAACACCTAGATATTAAATACTTAGGTCTGAAATACATTTCACCAGTATCAATTCAAACTCTTCTTCATTCTGTTTTGCTTTCATTTCTGTGCCACAATCCACAGAGGTCTCCTGCCATCCCTAAAAAAAATAATGCCCTGGACGGTTGCCCATACTACCCATGTCAGAAACCACAACTGTCTGCACCATTAAATATAGCTACTAACAATGCTCAACTATGAACACTGTCCAAGGCCCAATAAGCAAGAAATAACCAAGCAGAAGGAGCACCGTGACTTTTATAATCCCTCCATGTCTCCCACCATGACATGTGACGAAAACAAAGAGCAATGAGCATGCTCTGTATTCTTACGTTCTTGTTTTATTTGTTCGCCAATTAAATAAATATAAATATATTTTAATGAAATAAAATAGCTACTGCAGTGTACGGAGAGCATTACAAGAACAACGAACGGCTCTCAGTGAGGCTTCAGTCCTATAGGATTTAGTCAAGATCCGTCCAGAAGAAATGGATCGTTCCTGAATGTCATATCAATATATTGCACTTTGGTCACAGCGTTGTCCCATATGTGAGACACCTCCGTCAACACCTCCACACAATAATTCAGTGCATGAGTGACAACTTTTTTTTCATCGCAGATGCAACG